GGTTAAAAAAGGGTGTAGGGTTTAGGGTTATATTGAGGTTATGTAAGGACAATTGAAAAGAACGTGAAAACTACTGTGGTACAGTGGGGTTATATGAAGATAATGGAAAGGAACATGGGAACTACTGTGGCATATTGAGGGGATATTGGAAAAGAAAATGGAAACGACTACAAACGGGTTCCGTGGGGTTTTAGGGTTTAGGGTTTAGGAGGACCCCCCACCTTGTAATAGTGGTAAAATATGAATATAAGAGGACCCTAATATGATGCTTATTCACTGAAGGGTGGTGGGCCCTCGTAAGGTAAAGTTCACGTTTGCCAGCTAAATGGTTGCAGCAAGGGCTTGGGTAGACTAGGCTGGACGGCAGAGGCCAGCCCACTCAAGTGGCACACAACGGCTATGCTGTCTCTCTGTGTCTCATGGAGCAAGGCTTCTTGAGACATATTACTTTCTTGTGGTACATCTGGGGCATGTTCTCTACACCATGACAGTGGTCATAGCTTCCTTTCGCGAATACAAAGAATACTTCTTAGAAAGGTCCTAGGCGCCTTTTGGGAAACGTGTCTCTCGCACACGATTTGATTACATCATCTTAAGTGGATAGAGAACCTCCTTCAGAAGCATGAAGCATGCCACGTTACCAGGAGCGAAAGCAATAGCTGGGCTTGGATAAAATGACAGAACAACAGGCCCCTCCAAGCACGGGCATCACCCAGGCTTTGAAATTTGAGCGCGGCCGTGCCGAAGAGAGCCGGGTAGCCCAGAGAAACACAATCAAACTGACCCCGAAATGCGCCCACGAGAGATGGCTGTCCTATGTAGGGTTCTATGCCTGCTCGGGAGAAGTTTGAAGCTGGCACTTGGGGTCCGAGCCTAAAACGCATCCTAGTTTCAGGCTTAGTTGCGCAAGTCTCTAGCACAGCAAATCGTTAGATACTTGGACACCTGTGAGGCTGAGGGCCTTCGAAAGCAGGGTGACGGGAAAGACTTGTGGACGAAAGACTTAGCTTAAGCCTTTTGCGAGGCGTACCTCTGGTGGGTGCTTGACGCTGGGGCTAGGTAATATACGCTATCCCACAAACTCCTTATAATTGCAGTTGAGCTGTCATGTGCCATGAGGAACAGGTGACTCTCAAAGGCCCGATAGACCCCATGGTCTTGTACAGGCCCACTCAAGATTCGCCTGCTTGTAGAGAGGGAGTGGGGGATAGCTTTGCTTCACGTGCTATAGGAAGTTGAAGAGGACGGTCAGCAACTCTGCGCAATCCTGCCTGTGGAATCCCGTCCAGGGGAGAAGGAGCGCAAGCTCCAGGCCCAACGCCGCTTCGCAATGCTCGCCATGGAGGCGGTGCAGAGTTCTTTGAACAGCAATGTGGAAGGGTTCGTGATGCGCTCAGTTTAGATGGAAGAACGTTTTCTCCGCAACATACATCATCACCAGTTTGATTTAAGCACCGTGCCTGGTTCAAGTCCATCTTCTTGAGAGAAGTCTATCTGAACAAGTAGATCCCGAGGTTGTAAAGTTAGCAGGGAGCCCTTGCTCAAAGCAGAGAGCTGGTGGCTCTCGATCTCAGCATGTTTCAATCCGATGCTTGTCCTCCATTAGAGTCAGAGAAAGATGGGTCCAGCAGGTGTACATCAATGATACCCTCGTTTTGTTCAGGGT